CGAGATGGTCCCTTTTTCATCTCCCCTTCTTTTATTACTTATATATATATATATATTATTTATTTATTTATTTATTATCTTTTTCCAAGCCTTTCGTATCAATTATTTGGGTTCATCTACCACTGACCCCAATTAGTTTGAGATAAATGTGTTGTTAATGTTGATGTTGAATTATCCAAAATCTTGGACACCGTAGAAAAGTGATATATCTTAAGAAAACAATGATACACCAAGAGTATCCTTTCCTTCTTTCAGCCAAATAATAGAGAAAATGTTTTCCACCAAAATGATCTTTCTCCATAAATTAACTTGGCATACAATGGCGGCAAAAAGGGGCCATGTAATTTTCTCTCTCTCGCATCTTCAATTGAATATTGGACTTTTATTTGAAACATATAGTTCTTAATTAATTAATTTTTTTAGGAACAACTTGTTTGTAAGTATGCATGATAAAATTGCATAAAACATTGTCCTTACCTCTGCCATAGTTAGTTGGAATATAATGGCGAATGTTTCTTTTAGTTATGGTTATATTGTGTAAAAGTGATAATTTTGTTTTAACACCTAGGTTGGATTGTGCTTGAGAATTAATTAACTAATTTCCCCATTTCAAAAACATATGATGAACTTGGTGAATAATCAGCAATAATAAAATTGCAAAAGTGATTACAAAATAAAATATGTTCAAGCTCTTCAAAATACCCTTATCCAAAACATCATTTTCTTATTTATGACACTATTATTTTGGTCAATCAATTGAAAATGAGAATTATGTTACTCTTTCATCTCCACTTTATGCTTAACTTTTTTTTGTTTTGCCTAAACTCTATGTACAAGTAGAAATAATTATATGATCCTAATAATTTGAGAGTGAATAAATTCAAACACAAGCTTAATCTTCTTTGGTCAAAGTTACTTACAAAAATATTGAATTCATTTAAATATATGGAAAAAGAATTACCTTCACTTATTTGGAGACTAAACAATCATATATGCAAAAAGAGCTTATCCACGAGCAATTTGCTTTGATAAAGTTTTTTTAATTTCATTCAGAAAACCTTTGTTGTTTTCTCAAAGTTCACTAATGTCAAAACACATAGAAAAGAAGTTGAACAAATAAATAGGTATAGATTAAACACAACTCTGTTCTCTAAAACAAGTATTAATATTCAATATTCAACAACCTACAATTGGAGTCCTATACAACCTTTTGTATGATGTTAATTTAAAGACAGAGGATTACAATCCAATCACCATTAAATACTCCTAAAAGAAATAAATAGCTGATTATAAATCAATCAACAAAAAATTAAGCCTAAGATAAGAAAAAAAAATACAAAATCATGATATAGTTATTAAAAATAAAAATAAATCTAAAAAGCCCAAAATGATGCATGCAACTTCTAATACAATTTTAGGTGTATCATCCTCTTCTGCTAGAAAAAGATTCGTCTTCAAATCTGCTTCGTCTTCATTGTTACCAACTCTTTCAGGTGGTAATCCAATGGCAACTCTTCCTGTACAATATCACCAAATTCCCTAATTAAGGGTAGAACTTGTGAATGCAACTCTTTGATATGCTTGGCTTGTTCATCTGCGTTTGAACTAAACTGCTTGGGGACTAGAAATGGTGTGGGTTCTAGAGGAGTAATTGGACACACGCAGAAATGGTGTAGGTTCTAGAGGAGTAATTGGACACACGTATAGATCGTCTCAAAATGACTATTGCTTGTGGTTCAATTTTGTGGTCTGTCATAGGAAAGTTCTATGTGAGGTAACATCTAGTCTCATTGTTGCGGACTATCTCCAATTAAACTTCCACAAAAAGCTAAATCGTTATCTCCATTGAGCACAAGGTTGTTACGTCCGTCGTGCCCAAATTCATAATTTTGCTTGCAAACTAAACACTTCTTGAATGAAGGATCATTCCCCATGACATTTTTGGATAGAACTTCAACTTTGTAAGAGATATTAAGATTTCTACTAACTGATTTTCCACTAAAAATTTCAACATTTCCAATGAAAGTACAATGTGAATGATGCAATTCAATATCTTCTATCTTTATTTTAAATTTTGCATCCACTATGGAAGTAAGCACCTCATTCTTGCAGATCCCTCTGTCTATTATTATGTTGTAGACCTTTTCTCCACTAGTGCACTTAATGAGAAAGATGTTATGCCTAAGCCATAATTCATCTTCTCCTACAACAACATTTAAAGCTCTATTGACAATTAGGGACTCACTGAAATGCACTATAAAGAATTTTTCTCCACCTCTGGATTCTCATCTTCATGCTCTCCATCATGTTTATCATAGACAGGGAACTCGTCATAAATTAGAGTATCTACAATTAGATTCTCATCATCTTGCTTTCCATTGAATTCATCATAAATAGGTATCTCGTCATAAAGTGGAGCCTCAACAAGTATATACTTATCATTATTCTCTTCATTGGATTCATAATAGACAAAGACCTCGTCATAGACGGGAGCTTCAATAAGCATCACAATCTGCTGATTTGGACAATTCGTAACAAAATACCCAATGCCCTAACACTTGTAGCATATCTTTGGCTATAGCTCTTCCTCTAGAAGGTTTCGTACTAATCTATCCTTCCTTGAAAGCAAATTTGAAAATATCTTCCTTGACACTAGTGACAGATTAGAGTCGTTGTCGACTTAGAAAATCGACTCTGAAATTTGAGATTGCTACTCTTCCATTTACACTACATTTCCGCCTTTAAAGCCAATCTACACACATTATTATAGCTCCAATATTGATCCAACGAAACAACATTAAATATCTCAATTTGAAACCCTTTCAAATATCGAGAAATTATTTGTTCATCTTCCTTAGCCACATCACAACACATAATGAGGTCAAACTCATTGGTGTATTGTTTAATCGTTAAATTGTCCGGCATTAGGATATGATATTTGATAAATGTTTCCTCCTTATAATAATTAGGCAAAAACTATTTCGTAGCAACTTCTTCATCTTGTCCTATGCATAACCTTTGACTTTCCCTCCGTAACGTATTTTCACATGATTCCACCAAATGGAGGCATGCTTCCTAAATTTGATCACCGCCAATTTAACCTTCTGGCATTCGGCTAGATCTTTCATGTCAAAGATCTTCTCAACGATATGCAATTAGTCGAAAAACTCATTTGAATGAGTTTTTCTCTCAAACTCATGAATCTTGATCTTCACCATGATATTTGGAAGAGATGATTGAAATTTGCATCGAATTCCTTGATTTTACCCTGGCTATCAGATGCATTGACGTCTCTCTCCTCGTTATCAGATGCATCTCCAAACTCCATCTTGTCTTTAGTTTGAATAGATAATTGCGATCTCGCAAATTGTCGTTCTAGTTCCTCAACTCGTCGTTGTAGCTCTTTGTTTTCTATGTCATGTATATCTCTTTGATACAACTGTTCATCTTTAGTCTCTAGAGTTATTTTATATCACTTGCTCTAGCGAACCCATCGTCCACGCCTACCACGATTTTGTTCAGCCATTAGCAAAAGCTAACCTGAGGTCTAATTCCAACTAATGTCGAAACAGATAGAAAAGAGGTTGAACAACAAATAGAGATATATAAAAGAGAACTCTTATTCTCAAAAACAATAATCAATATTCAAAACTCAACAATGTACAAGTCAAAATTTTTAAGTTTTGCATGTCAACCCATGTGACCTGGAACCCGCATCGAGTTGTATTTGGATTTCAATTTGTGACCCATGAATAAAAATGTCTTATATTCAAATTGAATAGTTTCACCTACAAATTAGATCTTAGCATGATATGAATGGGACCCATAGACACGAGCAAACTTTTGTTGCGACGGTCGCATGTGCGACTTCCTTTCAAAATTTGCCACTTAAATTTATTTTTTTATTTTTTTCATCTCACTTTCATTTTCTTTCTCTATTTTTGATTGGTGTTCCTTACTGATGTGGTACCTTAAAAATTTCCCACATACACATTTGCCACCTTCCTATTGAATGATCTGTTTTCTTTTTTTTCTTTCTTTGATTGAAAAAGAAAGTTGTAACAGTTGTGTTATGCCATTTGTTTCGTAACAAATTTCGTAGAGCAGACTTCGTAATAAATATCAGTCTCGATTAATTGATAAACGTAAAACAGAGCTAAAATAGAACAAAATTAGGTGAAATAAAATGTATATTCATAAACTATAAAAAACAAAACAAATAGTCTATGATTTGATCATTTTCACAATAAAATAATTCCTCCTTATATGATACCTGAAAATTAACGTGAAATGAATTCGAAATCAATCCAAATGGCACAAATACTACTTATGAAAAATACTAAAAATCTTAATTTTTTTCATATATAATGTCCTAGTTCATTTTTTGTTTGTTTCATGACTTGATAAAAAAATGTTATTGAAAAAGGTGCAAACTATGATGTGAATTGTTATTTTTTTTGAGTTGAAACACATTTAGAAATTCTGACTATCACCTGCGTTAGGTATCAGTTCCGTTCGAAAAAAATGGAGATAGAGACGTCCGTGTAAAATAGTTTATTTATGCTCTTTATTATTTAATTATTGTTATTATTATTTATTATTAATATATTATTATTTTTTGATATTTTTACTTAGATAATCTTAAAACACACAACATTGCATGAATAATTTGATTATAGAATACGATAACTGTGATTTTCTACTAGTAATAAAACTATCTAAACATTTAACCATTTTTTTTGGGGGGCTACAAATTATCTAAAAAGTTGTATACTTTTCAACACAAAAATATCAAAATTAAATCTACATTTATTTACCGAAAAAAAAATCTATATTTGTTTTGGGGTACAATAATTAAATCTACATTTTAATCACGAATTAAGATGAGGTTTGGGCCTAAAGACCCAGAGAGCTTGATGGACTTCCACTACAATATCGTATTTTAAACCGAACATATTTTTTAACATTCTCACACAAACCCATGATACTATGCTGTTTGGCCCATACATTACATGCTGAGTCTTTATAATTGAAACTTCACCCAAAACCCTAGTTTCTACATCTCTATTCCTTTCATCTCTCTCTGCTTCAGCAGTCGCAGAAACCTCATAGCCGAAAATGGTGATTACTCTTTGACCAGTACTCTTCCACTTTCTTAAGCATTGTGTGTTCCTCCATCTGGGTCTTGTGGTTCTATTCAAAGTCTTGATGCTTTTTTTTCTTTGTTTGTTATTCTGATCTGTTTTGCAGCCTTTCAAGAGGTACATCGAGATTGGAAGGGTTGCTCAGATCAACTATGGCAAAGAATATGGGAGGCTTGTTGTTATCGTTGATGTCATTGACCAGAACAGGGTATGCCCTTTTTTTTCTCTTTCGTTGATTTGTCACTTTTTGTTAGATTCATGGGGTGCCCATTTGTTTGGTTTGGTTGCTTATGCACTTGAAGCAAAAAGTTTTGATTTTTTTCCATCTGGGTGTTGAAGGTAGTCATGATTTTCATTGCCAGAATGATGGGTGGTTTTAGGGTTGGTTTTTATGAATTTTTTTATTTTATTTGAAGCTATTGGTTTTGCTTTGTTGTATTTTAATTGGGTCATAAGGCTTTGTGTACTCGTGCATGTGTAGCATCAACTAAATTATGTTTTGAATTATTTAGGGGATTGGGGGTATTAGTTTGGTGTCTGATAGTATCAAATTCTGGTGGAGAAGTTAGAGGTGTCCTTATTGTTGATAAGTTCGTTATGCTTGTTACTGCTCTCAGGTATTTGATGTTGAAACTGTATAGCATAACATGTCTATCATAAATTGACAGGCTCTTGTTGATGCCCCTGATATGGTGAGATCCCAAGTGAATTTCAAGAGGCTCTCACTCACTGACATCAAGATTGATATTAAGAGGGTCCCCAAGAAGAAGGATCTTATTCAAGCCATGGAGGCTGCTGGTTGGTACAAGTTTCCATGATGAAATTGTTATTTTATTGAAATTGTTCCTTTTGTTCATCAATTTGATCTATTGTTAAACAGATGTTAAGAACAAGTGGGAGAAAAGCTCATGGGGAAGGAAACTGATTGTGCAGAAGAGAAGGGCAGCCCTCAATGATTTTGACAGGTTCAAGATAATGTTGGCAAAGATCAAGGTTGGTTTCAGTTTACGTCCCTATACTGTTCTTATTTCCAATGTTATATGGGTTTGGTTTGTGTTTTTTCTTGTAACATTTATAGCTAATATACAATTTTTTAACTTTTGCAGAAGGCATCTGTTGTTAGGCAAGAGCTTGCTAAGCTGAAGAAGACCGCATCTTAAGCATAATTTCATGTTTATTTTTCAAATTTTGTTATGAATTTCTTTCAATTAGTACACCTTGGTTGTTATGATGAGTTTCTATGTATCATTGAGAGACTTCCTAGAAAGGTTTATTTTGAATTATTCCGTGTTAGTGATTTAAAGTCATTACTTCCATTCTCATTGTTAGAATATCTGGTGCCCATTTTTGCGTTTGCTTGCAGATGTTTGACTATTGGTTGTTTTTAAAACGTTCTAAAACTAATAGAAATCTTAAACTGCAAATGACAGAAGGAACGGCGTCTTTTCTATTTTCTTTATTAGGATGGTTGTGTGAATTTATTGTTCTTTTTTATTTCCCCTGAATTTTTACCTCCATGTTTCAATTGATGGTTTTTCAAGGTTGTGGACTTGTGGTATATGTCATGAACATTTGTTCCCATTAATTTTAGCATGCATTTAATGCTTCTCGATCCAATAATCTTTCTAACTCCTAATTTTTTAGCTTTGTTCTAATCCTGTCTTGGATAAGCCATTTGCTTACAAATAATTTGACTTGGATTTTGTTATTTAATTTTCCTTCCAGTTTTTGCCAATGATCATATTTATTTTCTAAGTGTCCTTATTATTATACCCGTCTCATTTCTTCTAAAAGGTCTGTAGACAAGTACGTAAGAATCAAAGAATGGCCAACCATATAACTAAAGAACTATATTACCCTTTTTGACAGGACACGTCTAACTCCAAATTTTCGTATGTGGGGGTCTAAAAATGTTGTTTTACATCTGCTCTACAAAATTCTGGGTCATGTTCACTAATGAATTGCTTTGTTGTGAAAGAGTATTGGTGATTCTAGTTAGAGGTGGCAAAGTGGGCGGCCTGCTCCACTCTGTCATCAACCAACCAAAAAATGAGTCAGCTCGCCCAGTCCCGCTTTTGAAAGTGGGTTGAAAAACTCAGCTTGTCCCGCCCCATTGGGCGGGTTGGCCCGTCAGCCAGAGCCTATTTTACACTGACTTGTCTCGACCCGCCTATGCCCACCATCAATCCGTCAAAAAATGAGCCCGCCCTGCCCCGCTCCGCTTTTGAGATGAGTTGAAAAACTCAGCCTGCACTGTCCCGTTTGGCGGGTTGGCCCGCCCAAGTCCGTTTTGCCGACTCTAATTCTAGTATTGATAGCGTGCCACCTATGGTAAAATCTTTCTGCTTTTAGCATGCTAATTGCTCATTAGCTCCGAAATTCTTGAAACAAGACATGCTTAGTTCCTTTCCTTGAGTGATTCCTTCCTTTTTGGTTTTATACTTCCATTCAAAGGAGAGTATTAAACTGTTGTAGAACCCATGATTTATTGGATAATTCTTTGTTTTTGGCTACATAATCAACAATTATTATTGGATGAGATCTTGGAACTTTGCTTCTTAGAATGTGAGTCTCTCATCCCCAAAACTTTCTTCAATTACAAAAAATAGAAAAGAAAAGAAAGAAAGTACCTGTTACAGGCACTAGAGAAGAAAGTGGTTAATGGTTAGGGTTTAGGGTGAAGCATGTGGAAGAATGAAAGCCTACCAGTCTACCACATAGTTGTAAGATAGAGCCCAAAAACAAGTATTTGTAAGCTAACCCACACATAAACATAAATTTAGTTATTGACAAGTAATTAAATTACTAGATTGATTTTTTATCGTAAATCCTGAATTATGTTAAATTGTAAGATTCATGAAAGATGATTTAAAAATATATTATTCGGCTGTTATCTACTTTCCTAAACATTAAGTATTTTTTATTTTTTTAGCGGAAGTCTGATCCTGAACGATTTTGAACAAAGCTTGAATGTTGTGTTCTTTACTTCTCTTGCACAAGTCTTTGTTTTAGTGTTTTTTTCCCCCTGAACATATTAATTTGTATTGTTTTGAATTACTTTCCGGATTCGTATTAATTTTAATGTGAAATTAGTTGTTTTCCTAATGTTAAGTGAATTTTTAATTCGTATTGATTTAAATTTTGAATCATTTTGGAATCAGAGTGGATCGGATTCATACTTATTTTGATTTTCAAATCTGGAATTGCACATCTTAAATTGCAATACTATTCATGATATTATACTGAATTGCACGATTTTGCAATTCATGCTCTTATACATGGCCAGTTCCGATACTTGTTATCGATGCATATCGTTCAACCTTCATATCATATCGAATCAAACGATATGTATCATATATCGTTACATATAACTATGGTTATTTACCTTAGAGGAAATGGTGCCTAAATGTATTTTCTTTTCATACCTTTTTGGTTAATGAATAAATTCAATGTGTACAACAACGTAAACATAAATGATATTAACAAAATTACAGAAAATTTAACAACTCCTTAATCCTTATATTTGATGGTTGGTTGTTGTATAATTTAATTAGTTTGACATCTTATATAATTATTAATGGGATTTAATTTTTATTATGTTATGCGAGATAAATTTATCTCCTATATATGAGAAACACTAAATCCATAAATATTTTATAAAAATCAATGGTTAATTTTTTCTAAAGTTACTTTAGAAAAATTTATCTAACATTCACTAAAACGATGCCATTTTGAAGCAAAAATCATGGTGTGTTTGCAATTTTAATTTATTCTAAGGTTATAATAGTTTTTATCATTTTAAATTTTTTAATATTTTAACTCCAAAACTACATTGTTTTAGTGAGCATTAGATAAATTTTTCTAAAATAACTTTAGAAACAAATTAAGTTCGTTTTAACTACAGTCAAGCTCAATCTTGGTTTTGTAATCCGAAATTGTGAAGCGCAACTCTAAATTCTATTGCTTGGATTAGATGTATAAAAATGAAAATATAGCACTAAAATCGGTTCGCAACAAATAAGCTTGTTTTACTCAAAATGAATTTTACTAAAGTCTTATCAAATTTCAATAAGTTTACAAACCATCAAATAGGACAGCATTATTTACAAAGTAAATTAAAATCAATTACTGATGTGATTTTAAAAACATTATAATCAGATCAACGTGAGAAGTACCCTTAAGATCATTAGACAAAAAAATAATTTCAATTAAGGTAAAAAAATAATTAGATAATATCATAAATAAAAAAAAGCATTGTATGTTAGAGACTACAAATTTAACAACTTTCTGGACTAAGAGCGATCTAATATTTGAGAGATTTGAGTAATTTGCATAAAGTTATAGATTTTGGGGTGTGCAAAAGGAGATATTCTTTATTGCATCCGTAATACATACATCGGTCTCAAAAAAGGAAAAAAGATGAGGATTCAATGGGGAATAGCAAAAAACATTTGGATTGAAATGTAATAAAACCTTCTTTATATAAAAAGAAGATGCACCGAGTTAGGTGTTACTAGAGTATACAAAAAATCGGTGCAAAAGAACTAAAAGAGTTGTATTGTAAATTGAATTACATTGTACTTGAAAGAATTGGTTTTTTAAAAAATTTATTAACTGAACTAGTTTTTCAAAACCAATTCATAAGGTGAGCTGAGCTGATTTTTAAAAATTCATTCATTAATCGAACAATTATTATTTTTTTTTAAAAATCAGTTCATGAATCGAACTGATTTTTAAATTAGCTTATGAACTGATTTTTTTATTTTTCTTGTCTTAGTTTTTTATTTCTCGTCTTAATTTTCTTTACTTTTTGTTTTTACTTTTCTTTCTTTTCTCTTTTATTTATCTTTATTTTTAATTGTTTATGTTGAGATATTCGAATGTGATAAGTCCGACATTAGTTGGTATTAGTTGGTAATGAGCTAAGTGAAGAGTATATAAGTGGAAGGACCCGTGAACCCAATGTCTTAAGATTTTGGGTTGAGATGTGGTGTCAGACCCACTTGCTACGGTTGGAGTAGCTTAGTCTATTGGTGATGGTCCCCCGCCACGAGCTTTCCCGTGTCATCGTCCGACAGTGGTATCAGAGCCGGGTTGGACTCGAGTTAGCCTGGTGATTGGCTAGAAGGCGGGTTGACTACTTGGGCCCTGGGGTACTCGGTTGAGAGGGGAAGCATACCAATAATGAGTTTCACACTTGAGGGGGAGATTGTTAGATATTCAAGTGTGATGAGTCCCACATTGGTTACCGTCACGGGCTTTCCTTAGATCCGCCTGACATAACTCTGTAAGGCATTGAGTTTATGGGTCCCCTCACTTATATACATTTCACTTAGCCTATTACCAATCAATGTGGGACTCATCACACTTGAATATTCCCAACAGTTTATTTTTTAATTTCTAGTATTATTTATTTTATATTTTATTACTTTTTTTTCTTTCAATCTTTTCTTACTTTTCATTTCAATTCTGAACTAGTTATGAATTAGTTCTGAACATATTTGAAAAAATAAACAATTATAGTTATCCAAGTTGAATTATTATTTTTTAGTTTAGTTCGGATCGATAAAAAAATTTGAATGGAATTGAACTGGGTACGCCGCTACTACATTCGTTCAAACCTTACTATCACCATTATATATAAAAAAATAAAACAACTTGATGGACTAAAATTAGATTATGAGTAAAGCCCTCTTGGGTCCCTAACTAAAAACATGATTCCTACTTTTGTTCATTACGGAAAAAAAAGCCTTATATTAGTTCTTTTGGAGGGACTAAATTGAATCTTCTTTGAATTTCTAAAGACCATATTTTCAAAGAACTGAAATTAGACCAAAAGTTAACTTTTTTTTTTTTTTTTTTATAAAGAATAAAAGTAAAGACCATATGTTTTTGTGAAGAACTTAAAATAACTTTACTCTTATATTATTTGGTGGCCGGAGATTGTACAGGATACAATACTGGCACTTGGCCCAATATGTATATAAAAATTTGTAATACATTGATTTTTATAAGAGTTATGTTGTAGGAAAAGTGATTGCGTTATGTTATAGAGATTCGTTTTGCGTGCCGAAGTTTTTTTTTTTTTTTTGCTGCGGGCCCCACAAAATGTTGTGTGTGCAGAAAATTTTTTGTGCTCATGTTAAATGATGAATGCAAATCCCTAATACATTACATACTAATTTTTCTTTTATGGAATCAAATTCTAAAAAAAAACCACTTTAATGAAATTCCCTGTTGATTATAATTTATGGAGGAGGGATCTTTGGTTCCAGAATAAAATTAGGAAGTCTTATTCTCTATTTTGATTTCTGTTTATGTAATGATTATATTTTATTAAATTATATCAATTACTTAATTATTAATTTTAAATAAATTATAGCCGTTAGATGAACAAAAATCAATAATTAAGAAGAGAAATAAAATTTCTTAATCTTGTATGTTAAAAAATTGCTCCTCTAAATTATGAGAGAAAAATAACTTAAATAAAGAGCTATACATATAAAGGGAAAAAAAAAGTAACCCCAAACTTCCCGTAATAAAACTATAAATTGGCAACTAACTCAAGTAAATAAATAATTAAAATGGTTGTACCAAAAATAATAATTAAAAATGACACCAAACTGGCCAACTCACATCCAAGTTTAAATATATAAAAATGTAAATCAACCCGCCGTCAAGATTCCGAACCACCTTTATAAAAGCTCTTAAATATTTATTTTCATTTTGCTTTCAGCATTTTGTTTTCAATTTAATGTTTCTTTTGTTGTCTAATTAGTAATTGGTATTACTTAACCTCGCTACAATAATTTCAGTGTGCTTTTATTTTTTTAATTTTTCTAATAACTAATTGAAAATGCAGTTTAAATTCTGTCGGACCCACAGTAGAAACTGCTCTACAGTACCAGTTTTTACGTTTTATTTTCTTAAATTTAAATGTCTTCATATATCTTGTAATCAAATCAACAAGTTTTTCAGATTGATAAATCTATTTTTATAACTTAAATTGAAAATTTTTCCACAATTTATTTTCTTAAATTATTTTTTTGAATTAATTATACATTTTTAATAATTCCAAATACACAATATTTACGGCTTAAGGTTGCTGTACAAGAATTAAGAAAATAATTAATTAACCTCATATTGTTGTAAAATTTATTATACTTAGCTAATCTACCCTCAAAATAAAAGTTAATTTAAAATCTTATATTTATCTGCAATTTAATTAATTATCCACTAACACACTCTCTTCATGAGAGATAAGATTAAAAAATAATAATAATCAATACTTCATTATTAATGTATAATAACAAATAATTTAAAACAAGAATTAACTTAAAAAATAAAAAATATTGTGAAACGAACAGAGTAATAAAAATTAATAACCAATAGTGCCGTCGATTGACCATGTTGCCTAGACCAAATGCATTTTTTTAATATGAGATATCCCACAAGTATCAATGTGACTAATTCCGAATAAATGCATTGTTTTAATTGTAAGAGTTGTAGCATGTTTTGTAAACAATTATTTTGGGATTTTTTATTTTATTTTTTATTTTATTTTATTTTATTTTTTATAAAAAAACTCTTTGAAAAACCTTAACCTTCAATTAAATTTGGTTTTTTTACCTCAAAATAAATTAACTAAACCCGCAATTAGATTATAAATTCAGTATCAAACTACAAATTGTCAAATGTCTTGTTTTTTTTTTTTAATACATTTTTTTTTTTATAAACTTCCCACCGGATTATTCTGGGTAAGCCGAAATAAAAGTGAGGATTGGGTGGGGTTTCAATTTTAAACTTTTCAAGTTGCACAGATAAAGCAAGATAAGTTTGATTAAACAGTTGCACTCATTCCTTAAAATGCGAGATCCTGATCGATATTAAGGGCTCATTTGGTCGACGAATCAAATAGCATATTTAGGATAAGATATGATAAGTGCTTAGGGTCTAATTATGACTCATTTTATTCTGTTCCCAACGTGATAAAATAATAATTAATGCCAGTTAAATTTTTAAAATAACAAATAAAATGAAGGGATAAATAAGAATAATGTTGTAGGTAAAAAATTAGTGTCATGCAATCACTATAGACAAAATAAAGTCATTGAATACCGTGCTTTTTCAATTTTTTATTACTATTTATTTTGTCGTTACTTTTGTAGGAAAAAAACATTTGAACCTGTTAAATGACGGATCGAAAGCCCTAAAATGAAACAAAATTTGTTGTTTAAAAAAGATTAATATTTTCAAATAGAGGGATTACTTGTAGGACAAAGGAAGTTATTTGATTTTTTCTATTGAAGTCCATTTATTTTGTTAGTTCAAAACTTCAAAAACTAGAACTTAGATAGTTACTTCTTATTCAAAATTTCCTCCTAACAGATAATTAAAGCCAATTGAATATTTTTTCAATTGATCAGCTACTTCTACCTGACTCATCAAATCTATTGAATATATCATCACAAGCCAGAAGAATCAAGGCCTATCTGTTTTCTATATGAAAATTTTGATTTTCTAGTTTTTCCTTACCATCATCTCCTAAAAATGCCACATTTTCTCTGAGGGTCTGATCAAATTCATTGGAGAAAGACATGGGACTGAGAGATCTTCATATCAAGCTAAAAGTAAGTCAATGTTCTTTACCCTATTCCACTGTTACATTGAAATTCATGAAAATCATATTGATTTATATCTGAGTTGCTCCTTATAGACCTAATGCAAGGGTGTAAACAAATTGTTACTAAGGAAAAAAAAATGGTGTTGACCCTTTTGAGATTTTCTTCTCCATGATATTTATTGCTAAATGCTTATTCATATGAATAATTAGTCATTTATAGCAATGTCTAATCTCTCCATTGAATTGTACAGGCATTCCGGGTGAAACACTTTTTCTTAGGAAATGGAGGCAGAAAGAGAAATCATGGGACTATAAACAAGCCTTCATGGATGACGCCAATAACACATGGTCACCATTTGGTGGCGCATCATCTTATCAAAGGTGGTTCTCATGACTCAGACTTTGATTCAGTTGTGATACAGAGAGAGCAAATGGATGACACAGAATGGTGGTATTTTGGAATCTTTGATGCTCTCATTGGAGATGGAGTTACTAAGTATATGCAATCCCATTTCTTTGACAAGAAACTGAAAGTGGTAATTAATCAATATTATATTTATCTTTCTCCAGTATACTATCTACTTTGCTGAACCAAAGCAATAATGCTTTTGATTGGCTATTATGTTATACGGTTTTTCTTTTAAAATGCTTGTGAGTTGTGACAAACTCTGGCTCATCCAACTATTGTGAACATTAATGTGAATGCATTTTGTATTTGTATAGGATAGAGTTGACTTCCTCTAGAATGCCCTTGATAGATAATGAATCAAAGTAACATAAAACATACAGCTAGATGCATATATTCAACCATGGCATATTTTCATTTCTTCTTGTATTTACAAACTAAGCTTCATATTTATTGTCAAAGAGAGGTAAAGATTAAACTGTTGTATCCATAACTTACCTATTTTCACCTTTATTTATGGTCTCTTCTGCATTTCTAATGTTTCAATTAAATGTTAGTCTCATATGAGGACAAAAACCAAAGAAACACTCAAGAGAGCTTACCTAGGTGCAAGAACAAAGATCAGAGAGGCACACAAATCAGAAGAGACATGCAGAATAGGCTCAACATCTGTGATGGTGATAAATGGAGAAAAACTTGTGATAGCCAACATGGGAGATTACAAAACTGTTTTGTGTAGAGATGGTATAGCTTATGCTTATCAGCCAAACGGCAGAGGCAAACAATCAGCCAAGAGACATTGGTATCGCAGACTCTTTTCAGGTACCAAGTACGCAGATCTCTTTGTCATTATTAGAATGAATATGACTGTTCATTTGGGAGATGGGAAAGCAATATTAACTGGGAAGCAAATACACACTTATTTGAAAGAGCTAGTTGTTTAAACCACTCTCCATTACCGACTAACGAGGGAAGGGTAAGGGCAATCTTTGGACGCAACCATATCCTTGCATCTAAAAGAGCCAATTGTTTAATCCAGTAAAATTGCTGCACTGCACTAGCTACTTCTTTTTTCTTATTTTTCATTCAATTGAGATTTCAGCTATGCAAGGGGTTTCTCATCCCCTCTCAAATATGATATCAGAATTTTGTTTCTTTTATTCATCTATAAGTAGGCACATGTTTTGATTCACACATCTCATAATGGATGGTATGCATGTGCTCCAAGTACTCATAATAACATGTGAATCAGCCAAAAAGACAGGTATAAAGCATTCTAAAGGCTCAGAACTTGTCCTGGGAGGTGATAGGATCGACTCTGATACTGAATTTTTGATCTTAGCAAGCAAAGGCATATGGGAGGTAAGCCCCATAATTATATGTTATAATGCTTCGTCATTTGTAGGATTTCTTAAAAATATACTTTAAAAATGAAAATAGTAGCTCATGAATCTCCATATATTAATAGGTGATGAAGAACCAAGAGGCCGTGAATCTTATTAGGCACATAGAGGATCCACAAGAAGCAGCTGAGTGCTTGGCAAGGGAAGCTTTGAATAGGATGAGCAAAAGCAACATTTCATGCTTAATCATTCGCTTTGATTGATTCCTACCCGTAAGGGTGTATCTTACAGCTTTGTTGAATGCTAGAACAGGTGGTGAAAACTTTAATGTACCATTGTTCCTTACAGTTGTTGTCGTCCAACAAACTTACTCATCAGATGTGAAGATTTAAATCTGCCACTAGATTATCTAAGTGCTTGCACTTTCATTATGTCAAAAGCCAAAAAAGGAAAATACAAACTGTGTTTCTAGGCCTAGTAGATTCATGAGAATATATTGATGTCAATGTTAATTTTCTTCGGAATTCTTGTGTGATTCAGGTTAATGTTTAGAAATTTTGAAAAATTTCATCCTCTGTCAATTGTGCAATGTGCAACAAGGGTTGTTCATGGCATATGACCAGTTCAGTTAATTGGACTTTAATGTACTAGTTTGGTTTTTACTCATGAAAAAAGGATGCATGCTTTAGTCCACCATATACTGGAAAGGAAATATTTTATAGCAAGAGAAGGCTTTCAAAGCCACTCAGCATCATTGCTACAACTACAGTCTACATGTACCTGAGCTCTTCCATAAGGGACGCAGTAAAATATTTGGTCTCATAAGTCAATGATTAAAAAATTTAAATTAGGGTTTTACTAATGAATATCCTGAAGGTACTGACTAAGGAGCATTTAACATCCCATATTTATTGGTTTAATCACTTAAAAAATTGCAATAAATACTTTTTGAGTTCCTAATACATCATATTCTGTGCCTTTTATTGGAATATTTACAACTAATTTCTTAACCAGTGACCAAAGAGCATTTATTAGAAAAACCCGTAAAATTAATATATTTCAGAAGTAAATAGACAAGGATTTAATTATGATCCAATGTGAGTGATTGTCAAGTTATTATAGAAGTTTAAATATCATAACCGGAAATAGATCCTCTAATGTGCCAAAAAAACATAATATGATCGTGTGGGAAGATCACAACCATACAAAGGTAAATCAACGATTATGATTTTGTAACTACCTATTTTATTATTTTTTTTCTCTCCTCTTTTTTTACCATTAATCCACCTTTGTATGGTTATGATTACTCATATTACATGATCATGTGAATTTTCACATTAGAGGATCCAGATCCGTCAATGTTATATTAATAGTTTTATATTATATTTCTCAATGCACAAGTCTCACTTACTTATTCTAATAAACTCCATAATATTTAATTATTTATTAATAGAATGAAGAGTGACGAAAATCAAATCCGTGACCACTTGACCACTAAAGCTCTCGTACTAAGAATCATTTCACCTAAACATTCAAGTAGTTAGGTGAAGGTCAAGTTAATGCTTTTATATTATATTTATCTAGCATGCTACTATTACATCATTTGATGATAGCGTAACAAAACTTTTCAAGAATTTTAAGGAAAATTTCCAAGGTTGGGACAAACCAGCCCCTTCCCTCGTCACTTCACTCGAGGATCTTGCATGTCAAAATTAGCCTATGGAATGGAAAGCATTGCCAATGGAAACATATCAGAATCAATCCCCCATCTAGACTTCAAATAATTTTGTCAATGTTTTGAAACCCAAAAACGATATATTACTCTGATATTTTCAGCAAGACAATAGATAATCAGGATCATTGAAGCCCAAAGAGAAAAAAAAAAAAAATCAAAAGAATCAAGTAAATATTTACTGCATCAACCTCAAATAACAGGCATCAATTTTATCAAGCCATCATTATCTTTTTTTGGCCGTGGTTGCTTCGAAATGGTGATAACAAGGAGAAAGAGCGAGAAGCTGCATAAGAATAATATGTTTATCATGTCCATATTCAGAATATTAGTAAGAATCTAGATGACAAGATAAAAAAAAGAGTTAATTTAAGTTCACTTAAATAAATGCAATAAGTGCTTACACTTTTGAGGAGTTGCACTGGTTGTGGGAGTTTCATCTCGAGAGACCAAATTCTTCAAAGTATGAACTAAGACAGACAACACAGTAAATCCATATTATGGTCATTTGAGTATATTGGTCACGTCACAAGTAATTAAACACAGATGAGCTTAACAATATACTCAATCTACAAAAGGCATACAAAAGCTATGATATTTTAGTAAAATAACTGGATGATGAAAAAAAATACAGTTCAAAATCGTTTGTTTGTTTGTTTTGACTTTCTCCGATCCTAGTTATTTATGTTCTTTTTTTTTGGATATTATCAATCGGTTCATCGAATACTTGACTAATCTAATTTGAGCTGGGTAAGATTACATGGGCGGTAAAGCTCTTCCTATCAAGTTTTAACACAACTGCGTTTCCAGGGGCTCGAACTTAAGACCACGGGATAAGCTGGAACAATCCCTTATCAATTGATCCATGTGCTTGGTAGTATTTATGTTCATTTTACTCTCTCAAGTAACATGCAGTTTTTGTGATCGAGAAAGAAAATCATTTCTGAATGTTGGATGCAAGTTAAGTCAACACCAGATCATTATGACCATGACAGGAAGAGGAATAATGTTGATGCAACCTACATACAACTCAGTTTAGGTGAAACCATATGTCAGAGGATATGTTAATTGTATTATTTTTCAAAAAGAAAATTAATTTTATAAGATGTTATACTGTAATGTAACCCCCCCCCCCCCCCAAAAAAAAAAAAAACACTTTTGTATAGCCTACAAATGGATAATAAGATGAGAAGGGAAAGGATATTGTGTGTCAGCTTTAAACTATGGGTTGGAAACTTGGAACTCAAGGTTTTGTGTTGGGTAGATCATGGTATCAACAGTATGATTTGTAAAATTGAGGTATTAGAAGTGGAAGTGTATGTATAAGAAAGTTCTGTAGAAATGCAATCTCTAATAATATTGGGATAAGCTGCTTGCTATTAGAATCACGCTACCTTCATTGGAAGAACCATTAGTTCCAATCTCATTTGCTTTAGAACCATCAACACTGGTACTATCTGATTCCATGTTGTGTCCAGCGGTAGCTGAGTTATGATTCTTTCTTCCAAACTTTAACAGCCGTCTCAACCCTTTCGATGATTCCTTTACCTGAGGCTTCTCAACTACTTCAGGAATCTTCTCAAGTGTTGAGTTTCTGGAGTCAGACACGTGTGCTCTAACAGCCTCAACACCAGTTGATGCAGTCTCCAAGCTAGTGGGAGGTGCTTTACCATACTCGGAATTTCGTGTACAACGATCTTCCAAGGAAGAAACTCGAGCATATGGGGCATGATAAGTTTCTTCAGCAATACTAATGGTAGATGATTTTGAAGGTTCTTTCTCTGTTTTATTCATTTTAACCTGATTTTGGAAGACAATATATTCAAAATTAGCTCATGCACTAAGAATTTCTCCCATACACGGAGAATTCAGATAAACTACACAAGCATGTCAATAACAATAAATCAAATTAAATTTTTCTAGCCCATACAGTCAAGGGTCTAAAAGGTTATGGGTTATGGGTTCGAATTTAAAAAGGGAGCGAATCGGAGCAGTGGTAAAACTGTTCCTTCATGACTGAAAGGTTATGGGTTCGAATCCAGGAAATAACCTCTTTGCAATTATGCAAGGGTAAGGCTGCGTACAAAGATTTCCTCCACCCCACACTCGCTAGTCGGGTTTAACGGGGAGTGGTTTATACAGTCAAGGGTCTAAATAACTTATCATTCCCGAAATTAAAGTCAAACATCAGAAAATTTCTTCTAATCATAGAATTGAAAATATACTTCTCTTCCCCACATAATATCTGAATTCTATAATTAGAATTTGTGGAATAGAGAAATTTTGAGTGGAGTAACGTTTGATGTTGTAATGCCACTTTCACAATATACAATAAGGATATAGAATTGGCAGTACATGCTTGTGCTTAGCCATGCATAAATTATAGGAAACATTTTTGCTACAGTTTCAAGCCTCGTATATAATAAATTAAGTAATGTTACTGTCAGGCTAAGTCAATTTGCAATACCCATCATATTGACTGCTAATTTGTATAAAAGATCATATGTTGTCAGAACCACCAACTCCAACTAGTTTGGAATAAAGGTGTTGCTAATGTTGATCATATGTTGTTAGACACACAGAACATTCATAATTATAATCATGATCATATTTATGTAATTTTTTATATGCACACATCAGCCTTACAAGGTACAAACTAACAGGACAGTTAACAATTAATAAACGTACTCTTAAGTTATGAAGACACACCTTGGTTGATATGGGTTGCACGTGTGATTGGTTCTCTGAGGTTTCTATATCTACTATATCTGTGTTTAATGGTGAAACTGGTGCGCGAATAGCAACATAACTTGACACTGTCTCAGTTTTGTTCATCACTTTATTGTTGCCATGCTGTCTCTTTGGTATACTGGGTTTTTCTTTTGACTTGTCATCATTAATAGCAGGGGCGCGAGGTTTTTCACACTCAAGCATCACAACAGTCTTCTCAATTATTGGATTGTCATCTCTATAATCGGTGGATGACATTCCAATTTCATTTTTCTTCAGCAAGATACCTTCTGAATTCGTAGGCGACTTGTTACCATTCAGATTCTGTGTCTTCTCTTTGATTGATGATCTCTTTTGGACAATGTCACTTGCTTTAGATGTTCTGATTTTCAGTTCTGGGAGGGTTGAGGTCTTGCTTTCATCATGATTCACAATAGCAGAAATCTTTTTGCTCTTGGTCTCATCAGCAGCTTTAGTCATTGAAATTGTCCTAGTGCCACGTGGTTTAACTGAGGAAGTTTGACGAATGGTACTCATTTTAGGTTCTGACAATCTTCTAATTCGTGCCATTGATGCCTTAGTATTAGTTGTACCATCACCCTTGTCTTGCTTAGATTCAGACAAAGAAGGCACGGATCTGCTTAATTTGTTGGTAACTGAGTGGTTTCCAGTATTCAATCTGCTGGCTTTTGAGGCTTTTGAAGAATCATTGGATCCAACAGAAGCAGTTCTGATGGGGACTCTTTGGAAGGGTGAGGATGATCCTGGTACTGAATCACTAAATTTTGATCCTTTATAAGAGCTTGGCGAAACTTTAGTTGGAAACTGTTTCTTGGTTAGCTGTGATGGCACAGGTGAGTTAGTGGGGATTGAGCTACTCCTGGCAGCAATTCTCTTTTGCCTCTGCATCTTTAAAGCGTCCAAACGTTTGATCTCTTCCTCTTCCTAGTTATCATAAATAAAAATGAATAAATATATAGATTTGAGAAACAGATGGACGACCTTGAAAACATGAATCTCCAATATATAGATTTGAAGAGGGAGGGGGGGGGGGGGGGGGTAGCTAAGGGAATATAGGCGAGTACCTTCTTTTTCTTAATTTTCTGGAGATCAGCTTTATAGTTTCGTAGTCTTTCAGCACGTGCTCGAGCTTCATCCAATGGACTCATTTTATTAGTCCTTCCTCTCCTTATTGGCCCAACAGTCTTTTTCTTATCAGAACTATTTGGAGAAGGTTTTGATTTCTGCTCCTTATCCAACATCTTGGATTTTGGTTTGGCGAGAGCCAACCCCCCTTTATTCTTCATATCTTGTGAAGCACCACCTTTGGACTGGGGCTGCATTACATAGTCCAATGCAGGGTCATAACCCATTGACCCCTTTTCTGCTGCTCGTTCAGGCATCAAGCTCAATTCATTTGGCTGATAATTGGAAAAAAAAATTTCCTTCGTATGCACCTTAGGAAACTCTGAGCCCATGTCAATAGCATTTCTCCCAATATTTCCAGCATCATTCACTCTGACTGACCTATAATCAACTATGTAGGAGTCGTCGTTCATATCATGAAACAACTTCCTTTCCAAATTATTGTTTGAATAACCTAGTCCATTGACAGCTGCCATAGCAGAGGAAGAATGTGAATTACCAGATCGATTATCTTGTTTAACAATGATGAAATCATCATTGGCACCCTTCGTATAACCATTCCTTCTTCCATCTATTTCTAAAGACTGTACACTATCCACAGATCTACCATTACCAGACTGGCCTGCCCTTTTAAACAACAATAAATCATCATTGGTTGACTTAGGCATGCGGATTAATCCCTTGCTAATGCTATGCATATCTATGGCATCACCTCCTTGAACTTCATGCGTACCCCGCTTAGTAAACTCTATAGGATCATTGACTGCAACATGTTTTTTTCTCCTCACATGATCAACCTTTTCCAGTTCAAACTGGTCTTCATTTACACCTCTCAGTAAACAATTTTGGAATGCTTGCCAATGTCCTCCATCTGCATAATTCCCACAGTCTGTTTCTTCCTTATCAGATGAATTCAACCTTTTCAAAGATTCCTTACTGGTTCCTCTTCTTTTTGAGGTCTTCACAGATTCCTGAGTATCTTTGTATTCATCATTTTCAGAGGCAGAATCTGAATATGATCCACTGCCAGAAGAACGTTCTGTCTTTGTTATGTAATTGATGTTCCGAATGACCACTATGCCAGATTTCTGTCTACCTGATCTGCTAGCCTTCTTTTGCTGTTCTCCAGTCCGCAAACCTTCCCTCTCCATATCCACTTCATGCTGAAACCTTGTTTTTGAAGATTCTACATCCCAAGTTTCAGATTCAGTATTGTTGTGTCTATTATCCATGGAATGCCTTCTGTGTTCCATATTTTGACCAGCAGTTAGTCTGGGATCCTCCATAGGTGAACAAACTGGCGGCATAAATGGGCTGTTTCCCGGATAACTCTGATAGTAGGGTATGCCTTGCACTGGATATGGCTGAAACACTGGTAAAGCACCAGGGGGAGAATGAACAGGCCAAGGAGGGAACCCATGATGTGGAAAGTGACCTTGAATATTACCTTGGTAGCCTGTAGTTGGTTGGTGGTCCATTGGGAACACATCTGCAAATGTGTAAACAAGAATCTCAATACATTTTTAAGGGGAAGAAAAAATAGACATCTGGAATTTTTCACAACTTGCCCGGATGCATTATTCTTGGCAGGCAGCATTAAAAATTTGTTTTAACAAGAACCCAATTAATTCTTCCTTCCATGAGCCATAGAACCCATCAAATTGGAAAACCCTTAAAACCAAATTTGCAGGTGATGTTCGCAGCACCTAAACAACAACCAACTAACCCCTTGAAACACATGATATGATTGTATGCTTCCAAACCATTCTCGCTCTCATATATCCCCAATGGATCTTCCTCCACCTATTTTCTACCTTTAATCTACTCAAGAAACCCCTAATAATAATCCTTTCACTGACCTCTAGGTTCTTTGAAGTAGCAGATGATTAAATTTTTTTAAAAAATGGCTCTTATAAATGCAAACAACAAGTTTGGTCCGAATATACATATGCAATACAGGAATGAATGGCACCAATCAGTAATGTTATATCATTCACTTATGCATAACATTACTTACCATGTACTATAATGGGTGCAACATATTATGAGATTATGTACTAAAGGGTGCCACATTTTTCTTGATTATTAATTTCATTACTTTTGAATAAAAAGACATGTAGCATATTATTCATGATTATTATATTGCATTAAATACATAAACTGAGCATTTGCGTATGCATGTGTCAGTCTGTGCACATAGGAAAGTGTAATGATTGATGACTAATGAGTTATTGTAAATGTATGCATTAAGTTCAAATTGTTCTCTGGAGTTGTCAGGTACCTGAATTTGCTTTCCCATTGCTTTCTGTGTCCAATTCAGTATGGGATGTAGTGGCAATATTGGAAAGTATAATGCCTGAGGCATTTATTGCAGAGAAGTCTGCACAGTTGGGCGTCACTTCAGCAGTTTCAATTTCAAGCCATTGGCCACTTTCATGCTTTCTTTTCCATAGAGACATACATTTTCTACACGCATCCCTAAAACATGACAAATTCAAAATCAGCGACATTGTCAAGAAATCATATGTACGTTATGGGCCAATTAGTGAAGAATCCAACTTCTCACCAACCAATATTTAAGGACAATAATAATTTATGAAAGAAAATTATTTTTACATCAAGCGTGATGCTTCAAAGCATTCAGCAAATGACATCAAAGCTGGCATGTAGTCAATGTCAAAACCAGCAGCAACAGCACGTGCAAATGCCATTCCTTGCTCTTTCTGCAGCACTGATTTACGTGTCTCCAGGACTTTCAAAAGCTGAACTCTAAAACAATACGTATAGAAGTGAAAACAAACAGATGTTAACAACCTGTTTTACATAGTGAATAGAAGGTCAATGAATATAACACAAAAAAGTACTGTTTTTACATTTGTACACAACAAGGCCTGGATGATAGCTTAACTACTTTTTATTACAAAAATTCAGTCGATGTCGCTTCATTTATCATATTTATGTTAAGTACAGTATTAATTTTAGTCCACTAAATTGAACAAGGAGTCCTTATATTGGATTACAGAGAATCTCATTCCTGAGTTGGGGTGGAAGGTTGAGCCCCGAAAAAAGAGAAACTTATTCAAATATTTACCAGAGAAAATTGGCAATTATAGTATTCAAGTTAGTATAAGATTTCCAGATAGAATATGATCTAGTTAGTATATTCAATTGTCTCCAAGTGTAGTTCATGTATAAGAAAATGTTGCAAAGCTCCAATACAATTAGGAGAAATGAGTTGCTCAACCCAACGGAGCTTGAATTTAAAATGGGGAATGCTACTCTCATTTTACATGAGAGTAGCTCTCTCATGTTACAGAGAGAAATTATGTGGGACGCATCATTAAAAGATAAAAAAGAAAAAAGAAAAAAGTGGGTGAGATTTTTGATGTGAGAGAATATGAGATAACTACCTCATGTAAAATAAGAGTAGTATTTCCCATTTAAAATACATAACAATGTAAAAATGGCTTTCTAAAAAATTTAACTTTTCAGAGATTCATTGAATAAACCCTCTCCACTTTCACATCAGTTAAATAAGCCTATATAAAAAAAATAAACAACGCAAGGACTTATAACATGCAGATTTTAATACAGTGGCAGTACTGGTAACCAATTATCCTTGACGTGTAAATATCAAGTTATGGTCAATAAGCTTATTAAGAGCCTTAAAAGTCCTTTTTCTGCTTCACTCTTAACAGTTCTATATTCTCTGCGGAAAAAGAATATGCCCAAATTAATAAAAGTTCTATCCGACTTTTAATTGGTTCCTAAAGTAAATCCAGTGGCAGTTGGCCATGTTGGTGACATCTTTGCTTTATTATTGTTCTAAGCATATCAATAGGAATCTCTTGAGTAATATCCAGGTCTGGCATGGACACTTGATGATTTTCATATTAATCATACACAACCACCATTTAAAATTTTCTACTCATTCTATAATGGATGTTCATAGAAAAGAAGGAAAAAAGTTGAAGAGATTTAAAATTTACTTTGAGTTTCCTTCTGATCTGGTGCTTCCGTTTGCTTCAGGTGGCTGTGCATCAGACTGGCCCATATCCACACGGAGTGATTAGAAAAGAATATATCAATAGGTTAATGTATTCAAGACCTACTGACCTTGTAAAGTACAATTGCTTTTTCCTCATTAGTATCCTGCAGAGTCTTCCTGCCTGAGATATGGTAGAAAGTTTTCTTAGTTGGAAACAAGTATAAATTTCAGCAAAGGTCTAAATATTACCCATACATGTTGATTATTAGTTAATAATTGTACACAATAACAACTTGCAATAGACGTATTTGTTATTTCAAAGGTACCTTCAGTGTTTTCCACTTGTTTTATTTGGTTTTCTTCCAACTGCAGACATACAAGATAATTTAAACAGAACTTTAACTGCTGTAATTGTATTTAAAATTCTGTTAGATATTTACTTACAGCGCTAATCCCTATAGAACTATTTTCTTGAATTGCAATTGCCTCTTCAATTTGTAAGATTTCGGATTCTATAGTATACGCACGTTCCAATATCTCGGGAGTGCTCACGAAGCGAACAAACCTACAGAAGCCGAGAGAACTAGTTGAGCATGCTAATCTATATGAAAATAAATGTCACCTAGAAATATTTGTAAGAAGACAAACTTTTAAGTTTCCAACCTTAGAGTTACAAGTCATTATTCTATGTTTAACTTTCAACGGCATGGTTCACTGCCATTTCCCCATTACTTCCCTCTGCTTTGGAAAGAGTAAGAACCAAAGAGATATGAAGGATTTTTGGGGTAGATATTACAACAAATATAAACAGGATTTTCAAAATGGCATTCTAGATCCATGTTGAGCACCGGAAGAAATAATACCAAATGATGACCTCGAATAAGCATAATTAAATGAAAGATAAATGTTAATTCAAATTCTATGATATGCTGAAAGGAATATAAACCAAAAAAATAAATAAAAATAAATTATGATAACAAGCCACACCTTTCAACAGTTCCCCTGGTAAACCATGTGGCATCACTGCCATGTTCAGGCTCAAGAACAATTGAATAACCACCCTTAGCCATTTGATCTTGAGCAGCCTTCAAGTGGGATAGAAATGGGTTGAGCAAACCTGAGGCAATTTTCTCCTTCTTTCCATTTACAGTTATAACCAAATCAAACCTGATTTACAGACAAGGGTCAAGGATCAAAGCAACTATATCATTGTTTTGAAAGAGCTTTCACATAGATCAATTAGTCACATAAAAATCAATAGTAAAAACAAAATACAGTCTCCCAGTAACTGCAATATCCAAGACACTTCAATTTTGATCACATAAAGAATTTTTCTACCAAATTCAAACTTATGAAAGAGCATATACATCAGCCACCAAATTTATGAATAACTGGAAGATAACACTCTAGTTGCAAAAACAAAAATCATGCTGGCTCCAATCAAATCAACACACTCCAGAGTAAAACTGAACTGAACCACTTGACAATTAAAGAAAAGAAATAAAGAGAGTATCAGTATCAACCTTAATGAATTATAGTTCCCAAAAATTATTTACTTCCAAAAAGGTAGTCATCCCCATTTTAATTCACTCTAGTACTATCAAATATTCCAAGTGCTAAAAATAAAATCCATTGATAAATGGCACAAATGGAAGAAACCCAATAAGATGTAGAATCCATTGATAAAAGGGTATCACCATTACCTGGTTCTAGTTGGTGTGAGTTGAAACACAGCTGAATCCAACCTTGCTGAAGAGTTCATTGTGACAACCAAAACACCAACAAAAGCAGCTGAAAGAGACTAAACCAGCAACTGGGTTTTCTCAGGGATCACACATAAGTTTCTAAAGTGTTGCTAAGATAACTACAAAAAGAAAAAATACCATTCTCAAAATGGGTTTAACTTTGGTGACTCAAAAAGACAAGCTTTGCTTGAAAAACAGGCTTCAGGCTCAAAAAAGAGAAGGAAAGTTGCTAGGAAAACTTAATAAAGAGGAAAGTAATGGATTCAGAAGAAGAGCTACAATGGCTGCCAAAGACAAACAGGAAAGTGGGTGTGAGACAGGATCCAAGGTTGTTCTTCTTTGGATACCAACTCATACCAGGGACCATTAATCTTCTGCTTCTTCACACCAAAAATATCAAAAAAGGTTGAATTTTTCACTTTGCTTCGGAATTATAGTAAAAGAATAAGTGCATAACCGGGATTTCGGTAAATATTTTGACAAACGGCACCGAATGACGCTGTCTGACATACACAATTACACACGTCTCGTGATAACGGTCTTGTCCACTTAAATTACGATATTACCCTCGATAAACGCTCTGTTTGGTAAGTTGCAAGCTTGAACTAGTTTCACCTGTGCGTCATAATCACTTTCACTTAACACCACTTTTGGTATTAAATTTTAAAATCACAAGTGCATACGTAAGAAGAGACAAATTCTTCAATAAATTTGATGTGCACAAATTAAGTGTATTATGCTAATAGATTTATTAATACATTATTGACTAATAAATAATTATTATGTTGACTATCATAATTAATGATATATTAATAATGAGATAGGCTATGTAGCACCGATACTGATACGAGACACGTGACACGATACGACACGACATTCCGACACGTTAATTTTAAAAAATATTAGATTTCGACATGTTAGGACACGTTTTGATATTAAATAATATTTTTAATTTATGTAGTATATATTATATTTAATATTCAATAATTTAACAAAAAAATGTATCTAAACTTATAATATTCATAAATTTTGCAAAGAAACATAAGATATCTCAAATATTTATATTAAACTCAATAAAATAATAATCGTAATCCAACGAATTTAATAATTGAAACTAAAAACTCAACGCAACTTAACCTTTGAACCTTTTTTTTAATTTCTATAACGCGTGTTGGAGTGTCGGGAAGTGTCGGAGTGTCCGAGAGTGTCGGACACGACACGTCAGAATTTTTGAAGTGTCGATGCTTCATATGAGATAAGTTATATTTATTATCATTTTTTCTTATTATCTCCTACTATTAAGTTTATTATTATTGGATCAAAATCAAATTAATAATTATAAAATAACATTAAGTAAAAGTCTTTAATTTGATTTTAATCCAACAATAACAAAGTTGATAATAAAAAATAGTAAGAAAAAATAATAATAAATATAACCTCTCTCATTAATATTTTATTGATTTAATGCATTCATTTTAAGTCTATTTTTTTTTTAAAAAAAATATTTCAATCGATTCATCGTTTCGAGACTAGTCTAATTCGAAATAAATCTAGAATTAAAGCTTTAAATTCATTCCAAAGATATTCATTTTATGCCTATCAAGTTTATATAAAAAATCTCTTACAGGTAGGTTTTTGTTAGAGCAAGTTGTGATAGGTAGTCCAACATATAAGTTGTATTGTTAAGATCTCATTTTCCTATTGAATATTTAACAAATCATTCTAACGAACTAATTAATTACAAAGTTTTGTTGGGCATATATTGATAATCTTTTGCTATATACATTTATGAATGGGTTTAGTAATAATATTCTATGTGTATGAAGTGTTCAACACAAGGGTAATAGGTTGATGAGTTGTTGTATAGATCGACAAGTTATTATATGATGAACTAGGATTCTTGATGGCCAGTTGAAGGTGTTTGTGTGATAATTTCCGCCATGTATATTGGGAAAAGTGGGTGATGATATGACACCTACACAGTGATAAGGGGGTGTAAAGCATGGTGTAGTAGTTGGTTACGAGGGAAGATATAACTTTGTAGGTGAATAAATATGTGCATGTCATGTCAATTAAGTAGGTGTCCGGCGGGCGGAGTTTGGTTTAGGTTTTTCGTTTGGTTCTCCATCTATCTTGAATTAGTATTCTATGATTGCTTTATTTGGTAGAAGACATAAAAAAATTTAGCCATGCTTTTCTTTCCCTTAGGGGGTGTTTGTTTCAGGATTTTGCTAAATAATCATGGGGAAGTGTTGCCTGCATTATGATTAATCCACGTTTGGTTTTCCGATTTTATGTTTTTCATCTAGCTTTCATCGTTTCCTATCTAACTTGAATTAGACGTGATTTGTTGGAAATTCACTGTTACGGAATGCTTTTTGGAGGGTGGTATTATTTGTAAAAGTCGGATAAGTTGCAAAATTCACTGTTACATGATTTGTTGAAAATTCACTATTACAGTTTGGACAAGTATTGGTATAAAGGGCAATGTTTAATAAAAGGATAGTTTTGTAAATTCAGAATAATTTCCCATCAATATTTTATATTCAACCAAACATACTCTTCACGAAATTCACTTAATTTTCTTGGTAAAATTTTACTCAACCAAACAACTTTTTTTACATTTTCCTACCAAACTCAGTTTCTAACCATTTTCCTATCAATTACATTTTCCTATTATTCAAAAAATTTCTCCTCAACCAAATACCCCCTTAGTCTTTGACAAGCATATGCAGAAATGAAAGCAAATCACTATTGAACTTTACGATTTCATGTGGTATTCTTAGAAAATTAGCTAAATCGTAAAAAGGTGAACGAAAAGTCTTTGACAAGCATATGCAAAAATGAAAGCAAATCACTATTGAACTTTACCATTTCATGTGATATTCCTAGAAAATTAGCTAAATCGTACAAAGGTGAACGAAGAGCATTACTATATTACCCTCTTCTAAGTACACATGTCTATATCTCTGGTAAAATTAAGGGTTGTTTTAAGTATTTCAATATATTTATCCATTATTATTTCACCTTCAACCTAACAAAGACTCACAAAATTTAACTTAATTTTTTTGGTAAAATTTTGACCGACCAAACAACTTTTTTTTCATTGTCCTACCAAACTCACTTTCCTACCATATTATTGGTAATTGCATTTAACTGGTAAAAAAAAACCTAACATCCTCTCAAATAAAAGGATATAGAATATTCTATGATGTGATATTCTGTCCTATGGTGGAATATATAGGATGAGTAATATATAATAGCGGAGAAAATTTTTTGGTAAAATGTGAGGAAATTGCAAGGGTAATATTCTCAATTTATAAGTTATAATTATCTATGTAACCAAAATAACAAAAGTAATGTTCATAACTAAGGACTTAATTTTAAGAATTTGTAGGAGGCAATTACTATTTATATAACCAAAAACAATACAAATGACATTCACAATTAAAGGCTTATATAAACTTGAAAGAGCTGATCGTCTTCCCTTGCTGCACCATTGGCGATATAATGGGCCTAATCTTGTGGTCCACAATATTATAAATAAGAAATTATAGCCATCACCACTTAGTCATTTAACACTAGGGCTGGCAATACGGGCTGGCCCGCCCCGGCCCACCATTGGCCCGCCCAAAATGGGCCGGGCCAGCCCGCCCCGTTTTTATAAAATGGGCCAAATTGTGCAACCCACCCCGTTTTATGCATGGGCTGGCGGGTTGCGGGCCATCCCGCCCAAAATAAAAAAACTCATAAAATTAAAAAATAAATAAAAAATCTGCATAAAAAAACACAAAAAACTACATAAAATATAGGAATTAAAGCATCGTACAAATTCTGCTTAAAATTGATTCTACAAGCCAACCCAAAAAATAAAATAAAAATATTAATTCACGAAACTAGTTATCAAGTTTAACTACAATACACACAAATGTCCATTCAAATTGAGAAAAAAAAATCACAAACTAATTTTTGATTCATTGCTTTGAAGAAGCTCCAACAAAACATTAACTGTCATCGTCATCATTCATCAATCTTCTCATCAATCTTCACATCAAAGGCACCTTCATCTATATAAATAATAATTGAAAAAAAATAATAATTAATTTTACAAACAAGTATGGTTCAATATAAAATGAATTCAAATTAAATAAATTACCAGTCGCGGAAAAACCATTCTGCCAATTACGGGTACAAAGCAAAGCTTCAACACATTCAGGTAAGAGACTGCTTCTGTATTTATTAAGGATCCGTGACCCAATGCTGAATGCAGATTCAGATGCAACAGTGGTAATAGGAATGCTTAATAAGTCACGAGCCATTAGTGATAGATTTGGAAGACGTTTAGCTTTCCCCTTCCACCATTGTAATATATCAAATGTATCATCATCAAACTCCAAATTCTCCTCTCCCAGATAAACATCAAGTTGAGATTTTCCAATCTTTGCTGCATTGAAGGGTTGATTGTACTTTTTCAATTCCTACCATATTTGACAAGTTAAACACATAAAAATATAAGTTTTTTAAAAATACAATGTAAGTAAATAAATTATTATTTCAAATTAAAATAAACTTACTTGGAGCATGATTTCTGAAAATCCCTTCTTCTCTTTTGATATTGACCTACTTGAAGATGCACTTGTAACATCACTGAGACTTTGACTTGAAGAGGGAGGAATGTGACATGCATAATTGTCAAAGAGGTTGTATGCATTTTTCTTTATTTCTTCTACTTTTGCTTCACTTGTCAATGGATTAACTTTGGAATAACAATAAGACAAAGCAGAAGTCTTCATCCGTGGGTCAAGAAGCGCTCCTAGTGCAAGCACAATACTATATTCCTCCCAATATTTGTCAAATTTTTCCATCATCCTTTCAGCCATGCTCTTTAAAATGTCATCATCATCATGTAATGTGTTCTGGAAACTACATTGAATTTGCCAAACTTGCAAAAAGTATAAGTTGGCAGTAGGATAGGATGTGCCAGAAATCAACTCAGTAATATCATAAAATGGCTTCAAGAACCCCATAATTTTTTCTCCTCTATCCCATTCATCAAGTGTAGGACAATATTTATAATTTTTATCACTGAATTCAAGAATAGAAAACACACGTTGGTATATCAGAGCACTTTCAAGCATCAGATAAGTTGAATTCCATCTAGTAGGGACATCTAGGCATAAGCCTTTTGAAGTGTTAATTCCTCCCACTTGATCAATGCATTCTTTAAATGCTTTCATTCTGCCTTCCGAGCCCCTTAAATATTTGACACTTTCTCTAATTTTGCTTAAGGCATCACTAGAAACT